GTTGTAAGTGAACACGAATATAGAGTTTTTATCTGGAGTATTCTAAAATATTTAATATTTCAGATATCAAGTATGTCTGCACCAAGCGTGAATACAAACCAGCCTCCTGAAGAGAGGTACCATGCACAGTTGGAGCAGCTGACTGCGATGGGATTTGTAAACAGAGATGCTAACTTACAAGGTAATTGTTATTTTCCCTTTAACTTGAAATCTTTCAGATGTATTAGTTTGTTGCTGTTAAATGATTTCATCAGGTTAAATCATTTTGTTTGGCTATTATTTTATTATTCCTTGTAATTAGGGCCTGGATAATTACGTGCCAAAAATTAGGAATGTGTGTGTGTGTATGTGTGCGTGTGTGTGCACGTTTTCTTCTGTAAGGTGCTTTAGGCTTACACTCAGAGGTTTGGCCTTCTGCAGTTTTAAATAAAATGTAGATTCATCTGGACTGAAAATATAAATTGATTCGACAATGTCGGTATGAGAATGTGTTCTCCTTTATACTTCCCTTTCAGTATAGTTGCTTCTATCACGTTGTTTAGTAATGTTTTTATCGCTAACCATGTGCCGTTGCAAAGACGTGGTTGGTTGATATTTCGCAACATTTAGAAACTACCCCAGACTCCAACCTTTAATTGAAGATTATGAGGCAATTCTGGCAAATCCAGCGAGTTCAAAAATTCTGGTGGATAGTTCAATACATCATCTGGTAGTAGCCAATCAACTGATTTATATATTCTCGATTCGCCCTGTAATTTGTTCTTGATTTTTATATTTAATTCATTTACACTATGTTTTTTGCAGCCAATATAGCTCTGTTCGCTCTACCAATCATGGTTCTGTAATTTTGAAGAAACATCTGGAAACACGCTGAATAAGTTTTATCGTATTGATCGAGTTAACGACAAAACTTTGAGAAAGTTAATCACCATGTCAACATGTCTATAGGAAATTTGCCATTACCAATGTCAATGAGTTGTTTAGAGAATGTTTCCAGATTGATAATTTTGCAACTCGACACGCATATTCTTGCTTAACTGAAGTACTCTGACATGTTTCCACAAATTGGAGGACTTAAGACATGTGTTGAACTTGTTTTCCTTGTTTCCGTCATATAAATCTCCTTGAGGATTGATTCCAAGTATAATATTTTGGCATTTCAGAATATAGCAATGTTTGTGCAAAATCATCGTTTTGGCATGCCTCAAAAAAACTGGTTAATGTAGTAGATGGTGGCTGAGCAGCTCTTTGTACTGCGTTCTGTGCTGTAAAATACACTCTTTGTCTATTTTCTAAATGCACAGCTAAGTGAACAACGGAAGGTTGTCTCTCATGAATAGGAAAAGAAAATATTCGCCATACTGCTTCATTACTACAAACATAGCTGCCCATTTGGTATTGGGTAACTTCATCATTGGAATTCTCTGCATCAATTCCAATCACAGCCATATCACTCCCTTTGGTTACATATTTGCAAATGTATTTAATAGATTTCACTGAATGGCAAGATTCAACGTTGATGTGTGCTTTGAAGGTCTTTAATAAAATGGGTGAATATGGAACAATCCAACGATTATCTATTTCAATATCTTGTTGATCTAATTTGATAATTGTTGATCTTCCATTGTCTGCTATCGATTGTCGACGATACAGTGGATTACCATCGTTACCTGTAATTGTTTCCAATATTAATGTCCGGGGATATCGTTTTGAACATTTACCATCCATCATACATGGTGAATTTTGATTAAGAGTTCCACAAGGACCATGTATCATATTTTTTATTACAATCTCATGCAATCCAGGATCTACTTGTACATCAGGGATTTCAGCTGATATGACTGCATCAACGTCATTTGGCCTTATCTTTTCAACCAACCAAATCAAAATGTGTGCATGTGCCAATCCTTGTTTCTGCCACTCCACAGAATACATCCAGCAGCGTGTCTCACCAAACACATAATATGTTTGACGATGAAATCCGATTAAAGATTTGTTCAATTCTCTGGTCTAAAAGACTCTGGCTGTAATATGACGATCAATGGTGATTGCCCAGGGAATAACTCCTGAACTCCTGCTGATTTCTATCCAGTGCGGATTGCATGCTAAATTGATGAAACAAATCTGCTGTACCATAATGACAGAACATTACGACATGGTCATCTTGAGCATATTCGTGCATTGATGTCGAGGGCTTCCGAGTATGTTGCTGGAAGAATAGTCATCCAACCAACATTCTGTACATTTCCATTCAGTATTAATCGGCATCTCGAAGGTGAATTTACTCTTCAGATCGGAGTTTGCGTCTGAATTCAAACCCACCTGATGAATGTTAATCTCTCCGTTTCAATTTTAACATACTGTCAACAATATTGTTTGTGATATAATCGCCGACATTTCAATAGTGATTGTCTTTGTATTTTCCGAATCATTATGCTGGATGAATAGATAGTTCATTGAACTGACTTTTGTTAGTTTCAGAACTGTTTAATAGATTTGTTTTAATAATCATTGAAATATAAAATTAAAATACATAATATAGTGACCGAGATATTAACTAATATTTTAATTACCTGTAATGGGATTGATCATTTTTATTGAGAAATCATAGCCATCTTCACCTTGCCAAAATATAATTGAAATATAGATTCATAGAACCAATAACAACACATTGGTAGTTACTGTAGGCAATTGACAAATCGTAACTGAAAGCAGCTCGATTCAAAGTTGCGCGATTAATAGTTGAATGTAGCGCTCGCGCTTCATGTTTTCGTCATATCCGAATTCTTTCACGTTGATTTCGGTCGACACGTTCTTGTGCAGCATGATTAGATCGGTAATTAGCTTGGTTTGTAGCATTTCGGGTTCTTCGAGGCATATCTATATTATAGATTATTTTGTTAATAGTTTCGGAACGCGACATTAAATCCTCCAACCATGTATTCTGTGCTCCAACGCACACACGCACACTGTTTTAATAGATATGATTGAATTTGAACTTTGTATAACGGTAATAAAGTGCAAATTGACTCTTTGACGTTAGGAACATACCTACAACAATGAGTGCTTGTGCTACTAACGACGAGTGCTTTATACAACAGCTATAAAGCTCAAATTGACTCTTATGTTTTTGTTAGAAGACATTTGTATGGGAAAAAGAAAAAGGCTGTTTTTAGGGTTTGTCCGGCAATTATTGGAATTTTTCTCGATGTAAAAACCATCCTTGAACTTCAACGAACATTTAAAAAAAAAGAAATGCCCAAATTGGTCCAGGGTTTGTTGAGTTATGCGCTTACGAACACATTTTGCGATTCATTTTTATATTATTTATTATTATTATTATTATTATTATTATTATTATTATTATTTAATCTGATTGTTAAGGAAATAAGAAAGTCTTAATAAAATTATTAGAAATACCCATAAAACATAAATCAGTAGTAAATTAATAATAATTGAAAATAATCAAAAAAACATTATAAAATATAGTTTCCTTAAAATAACAAACTGACCAATCGAGTAAATGCTCGAAGTTATCACCGTTTGCAACGAGGCAGGCTTTTACTCTTTTCAGTGTAGGAGCTGCAGGACATTGAAGAGTTAACAAGGTGCTCTCTCTTTCTTCCAACGAAAATAAGCCGCGTTTTCTCTCACTCTGAAATCTGAGGGCTCGCGGACATGGGTCACTAAAAGTGAAAGTGATGTGAAAGGTATTTCATGCGTTACTAAATTGCCAAAACTTGTGGTGTTTCCAGACATGGGTTGCGAATTAATTTAAAGATTCTGTATTTGCAATATTAAAAAATAACAAAAACATGATTGCCTCAAAAATGGCTCCAAATTTTTACTTTAAATTTCTTCGAACAATATAGTAAAATACACTTATAAAGTTGGCATAGGTCAGATTTTCATGGTTAACTCTGAATTTTCAAAAGTTTGAATTTTTTCTGGGGCCTTCTTGCAACTACAAAATTACTGATGGAGTAGTTTTCGCACAATGTTGAGCGCAATTTTAAGAAAGATTACTAAAACAAGATTATCTGAAAAATGGCACCATATTTTTTTTTTAAAACTTGCTGTAGTGATTGTGCTAAATGCGCTCTACTCTAATCATGAACACCATATTGCTCTATTCCTTTGTTTTTTTAAAAATTACAAAACAGTAATTTTCTGACTTCTCTCACTTTAATATTTACATTAGCGACAATTTGTTCATATTATTATTTTTATGAGTATATGTGCTTTCAATACTGTCAGACTAAGTTTCCTGAAAACTCGACTGTTTTCTGTTAAAACTAGCTCAAAAATTCGCGTTTTCTTTTTGGCCATTGACTGAAAAGCAGCTACAAATTTTTCTTCAATCTTTTTGAATGGATAGTGCTAATTGTACTCTCTATTATGACATAAAGTGCATTTCAAGGTATTTTTTTCTTTTTTCAAAAATTACACAAATGTAATATCTGTGAAAGATCTATGCCGATAAGACGCACATTTCTAGCTTTTTGTATATACAGTTTGTGAGTTTTAGTGCTCCAAATGACTTCAAATTAAGTTTTTATAAACCTAAAAATTTTTCTGTTAAAATGTGTTTCAAATTTTGAATTTACTGTAACGCTGAAGCCCCATTTTCTTAAAAAGGGCTCCAAAATTTTCAAAGAAATTCTTGGTAGGTATAGTGCTAAATGTACTCTGTAAGATGACATATATGCCATGTATGCCATTTTGCTTCATTCTTTTCTTTTCTTTTTTTTTCTTTTCTTTTTTTTTTCCAAAAATTACAAATCTGTAATTTTTTTCTGTAATATATGCTAGTTTCCAATGATCGTTTCTCATGCATGGTGAACATTCAATAAACATTTTGCCAAGATCTACAAATGCTGTGTACCTAATTGCAGAGGTATGTGGGTGTGCAGTGAAGAATAAAGACGTGTCTGGTTGGGTTTGGTTGGTATTTTACCTGTACCAGTTATCAGCTATGATTACGTGAAAATTTCATGTCAGCGTGTTCAGTCACATACCTTTGTCAAGAGTAAAAAGCTTTTTTTCATATTTTTGTGACACACAAAAATATGAAAAAAAGCTTCTAGGATCAAGCTTGGACCAGAAGTGGGTTTGAGTCCTGCCTCAGGCATGGGTGTATTTGTGTTTGTTTAAATGGGCGTGCCGACCTTTCATCCTTCACTATCATCTCATCATCCATACCCCCAGGACTAACAACTTTAGGGGATAAAAATCGGAATTCAGCTAAAATGCCTATCTCCACCAGATACCTGCTGAAGCATAATATACTCTTGGTGCAAGATGGCGTATACCCTAGGGGGAAAAAAAAAAGTTTTCTGACTTGTTTGACAGAAACTAGTTGCAATCCAAGACGATAATGATGAGAACTTCTGAGTGTTGTGTGACTCCCTGCAAATGGGTATGAAAGGCAGGTCTGTGTATAAAATTCTTTGGCCTACCACCTCTGGGGAATTGTGTGTACTAATGTTACGTTTTGTCCTCATCCTGCATTATGGTTATAATACAAAGGGTAGGTGAAAATATACAAGTAAGGGTACTTCTGATCCTCATTTGGAAGTGCCACTTCCCTTGACCATCCACAACCACTGTCTTCATTTTTATGTTTGCACAGTCTGTTCTCTTTTGAGGATCAAACTTACCCTAAACTTGTATCCAATTTTTGACAGTGTTACTGGTTTGCTATGTTTTTGACACATTGAGGTACTACAAGTATAAATTGTTCAAAAATTTCAAATTAATATTAGCTCTGTCTAATTGGAGCATTGGCTGCACATTAAAAACTGGACTAAATTTCTATATTAATGGCAAAAGTTTGTATTGACCTTAAAATGGGCAAAAACTCGGGTAGAAAATTGAAATATGTGAAGTCCATAATTGAAAGCAAGAGTTTAGTGAAGGTTAGATTGTGTTCTTTGGTTTTATTCATTTTAATTGGCTGTAAGATCTCATAGTAAGTAATCTTACTTAATTTATTGTATTTTAGAGATAATGTCACATTAGAAGAGAATATGAACTCTTTGTTCCGACCTGTTAGGAAGATGAATCAATAATACAAGGTCTTAATTTATGGATTAAGTCATGCATGATGCTTATTAGTATGAATTTTATTGTGATTATTGTTGCTTTATGATTATTGGTGTGTTGTATTATTTTTTCAGCACTGATTGCAACTTTTGGTGATATAAATGCAGCTGTTGAAAGGCTACTTCAAAGCAGGCAGATGTCTCAGAGCTAACAACACTTCCAGCTAAACATGCCAATCCGTGATTTGTATGACTTGTGTGCACATGCTTCTTGTACAGAAGGGATGATGAGTTGAATCCATTGAACGCAAGTTGCTGCAGTTGTTGGGAGCAGCATCTATCTGGATAGCACACCCTCCCTTACAAAAGATACAATAGAGGTGCTGTTCATTATTGATGTTTAAGCCTGTTCATTGTATTTACCTTGTTAGTGGAAGCACAGTGATTTAAAGTGCTTAATTAATTGGATTCTTTGGAAATTGAAATACAACATTGGTTCTGACATTATCACTCCAAATATTTTTTTGGTGAAGATTGTAAGTTTCTTTCTGAAATGGAATACTTTGGTAGGTAAAATATAAATTAGTTAACCATAATGTTATTTACAGTTTAGAGATATTTTCTGGTTCTCGGTACATTATTGGCACGCAAATTTGTATTTTTTGTGAAATTGTAGTACTGCTGATGTACTGTTACTGCTACTCACTTCTGATTGGACATTAGTAAAGAATATTGCAACTAATCAATCCAAGTTCATACAGCCTTAAAATGTTATTTCAATACTGAATAGCATCCTTGAGAAATCTCCTTACTTTCCTGTAGCATAATATATTGCTGGCATTTGAGTCTTCTGGTGTTGAATTCTACCTTAGGAAAGTTTTATGCCGATACGAATATAGAATACACCTTGTGTTATACATGTTAAATTTATATAAGTGTAGATAAAAATGCACCCATTTTAATCTACCCAAATTTCATTTTAATTTGACCATTTGCTTCAGATGCTTTAAGCAATACAAGTGCTAGTCACACAGTTGGTAATTGCCATGATTGTCATAGCAATGCTTTCGTGAATTTTGGAATATCTTGTAAAGTCATTAGGTTACAAAATATGGTATTGACATTATTGTGCAAATGATTTCAGATTTACATGTGAAGGTGTGGTTTTATGTATGGTGTTGAGTGTGCTCCATGTCACTTAAGTATGTCAGGCTACCATTAATATCTGTCGGTAAATGCCCAGCACAGTGACACGTATTTGATATTTGCTCATGAGTTAGGAAGTGCTGTTGTGGAAGGTTTTGATTGTTAGATAAGACAATAGATTTTTGTCATTTGATAGCACTTCAAATTTTGTGTTTGTAATAATATAAATACCTTATATTGATAAAACATTTACCTGGATGTTTGACCTATTTTGACATTGGAAGTTGGTTTGGTGAGTATTGCAGGTTTCTGTCACAATTATGTAAATAGATTCTTCTCTGTGTGGATGCTTAATGTACAGATTTATTTCCTCTCTTTAGTGATGTTCTCTTGGAATTTGTTTTATTCATTTCAATATTTCTAAATATTTGGGTAGGTTGAATGTAAGATTTTTAGAAATATTCAAGTTGTACATGTCTGTTATCTTAGGAATGGTATAAATTGTCTTGAACTGGTTTGCAAAACAATTAAGGTTAACAAATGTATACTATATCTGTGCTTCGGTTTGTATATGCTGTATTATGTACTGTACTAGGTAGTCTATTGATGTATCATGAACTTACATTTGACACCTATTTACGTTGAAATATTTATCTTCTTTTTTTCATATACTTAATGTCAACAGCAATTTTTCTTCAAAATGACATGAAGTCTATTGTTGGATCAATGAATAATATTAATACTTGCTTAGTGCACATGTAGAAGTGATGGTGCATGGCAAATTGTGAAGGCATGGAAATAATACTTCTCTTTCAAAAGTTTTTATGTATGAGGAAGTTAAGTTCTGTTTTTTCTTTTTTCATAAATAGGGATAGGTTAGCATTTTAATTGTGTAGAATTTCTCCCTCTGAATTTGAATTACATTAAACTTTTATTTATAGTTCATAAATTATTTTTGGCTTGCTTAATTTCAAGTTTCATTTACACTTGTTGAAAGAAAATGTGTAGGAAAAGCACCAGAAACTTCCACAAAAATTATATCGAGACTTCAGATCCTCTAGACAAATACTAGACAATTACAGAAGTGTGCTGGGTATTAGTATATAATTGAGAGTGAATCTTGTATTCACATTGTAAACATGTTCTTGGTAGACACAATTTTGTAGAATGTCCTATCCCTATTCATGAAATATATTTAGTGCTATGTTTTCTAGATGTTTCTTGCATTATCATTCAGTAGACAAAGTGGAAATCATAATGGGCTTTGAATACAAGTTGCAAGTTAAAACATTAGGTTCAGATTAATTTGCTTATTCAGGAACTATTAAATTGAACTGATCAATTGTCTTGCTTGGAAAATGTATGAATTAAGTTCTAATCATTTGCTATGGATTTTGTAGGGTAGTGATAAGTACAGTACCTACTTCATGCAATAGTGCAAACCTATTTTAGATGACTTTATTGATTTACACAAATAAGTACTCTTGCGTTCTTTATCCTTACAGTTCCAAGGTGGTTTGCAAAGTCCTTATACCCATTCTTATATTTTAAAAAAAGAAAGAAGAAAAACAATTGCTGAGGACAGTCACTTTCACACTTCTTGAATTAAAAATGAGACGACTTTGTTTTGATTTGAAATTCCATAGACAAGTCTTGCTTGTTGCAAAAATTTTGTAGAGGAGTTGTAATTTACAGTGTTTGAAGTGGAAGATTGCATTATGAAATTTAGAAGTGTACTTCATAGAAATCAGTATCAAGAATTGAAAATTGTGCAGTTTTGTTGTTTGTTTTTTCCCTGGGGATTTGTAAATGCACCCTCACAATTGCCTGAAAATCTTATTTGTATGTTGCATTATTTTGGAAATTGTACTTCTTTTTACTCCAGTGTATAATCAAATGGGAAAATTGTATTTTTCGTATATACTGTTTTGAGTTAGATATCAATTTATTTCTGTGGCTGTAGGTTATTGATGTATTGCCGTGGTTCCAACGGTTTGTTATTAAAAAACCACTGAATAAGATCATAAATAAAAAAAATGTTAATGCAGTATAAAATACTTTATTAAATTTTCACCTTGCTGTTTTGCTTCCATAAATATGTTTTTTCAGAAAAATATCATGTTAAATTTAAGTAACACTTTTTCGGCCACTGAAAATGCTATTGAGAAATAAATTCAAAATTTATCTATTTTCAAAGCTGGAGTTCCATAACGTAGAGGTTCTTTCAGCAGAAATACATCGTCTATGTGCTTCAACTGAGATTGGAATGTTATTTCTGTTTTCTTTAATTGCTCATTTAAAACATTTAACACGTAGCTTGACTATTGAAAGGGTGCATGTAGTTTAATTTATCATAAGAATTATTTCTTATTCTGTAAAAACATTTTCATGAACATTAATACATTTTTTCAGTCTTAAACTTGCTACACTGCATATTAATGTTGATTGAGGCCATACATGTCAGGACTTCATAAAGTTGCCCTGTTTTCTGAAATTGCAGCTTTAAAAATGTAATAATTACTGCAATATGTAGTGCAAACAATAATTTAAATAGTGGTTAATAAGCTGTGGCCACATCCAGGTACATTGTCTAATTAAGACTTCAGTTTGTTATAAAGGCCCATTTGCTGAACATGATTTAGGCTTTTCTGGCTCAAGGAACAAAACTCCACATACAACTGAGAATCCAATTAAGAGAGCAAGTAATTTTAGTAAACGATCTTTACCTTTGTTCAGTTCATGAGGTAGAACTTCAAAGAAGGTTATGTACACAAAGGTTCCACATGCTAACCCCTGCAAGACTCCATTAACAACAGAAGAATCTACAGCATGCCCAAATTGTTCTAAGCTCATGGCAATTCCCATTCCTATGGGAGATGTAATACAAAATAACACATTTGATCTAATTATTGCTATTAATCCAAGTTGGCTTTGCACCAAGTTTAGGCCCAGGCTAAATGCAATTATTGTTTTATGTAGTACTACTGCTGCAAAAATTTGCAGGACACTTTCCACATCAGGCTGTAGTCCAATGGCTAGTCCTTCGAAGAGGGAATGAAGAGATAAAGCAGTGAGTAACAGAAATGATCGGAAACTTGAATGTGGATCATCTTCATAATTTTCATCTGCATTCAGCTGTGGTTGATCACTCACTCCTTCTACACTATCACGACGTAGTTTCCTCCGTATATCAGGATCTTCATCAGAAAAGCTTTCAATTGCATCAGCAGTACTTCTGACACTTTCTTTGCAGTCCAAAACTATCTGTTCAACTATCAATACCATGAAAAAGCCAAATGCCACTGTAAACTCTGCAACTGGAAAGGATGTGTTGATGTTTGGACTTGTCATGGCCTAAAAAGGAAGAGACAAATTCAAAAAACATTTGTTATGAGTAAGGTAATGACATTTAACACACCTACATATTAATACTTACTTTCTGTAAAATATCATCCACTTCAGGAAAAAGATCCAACAAACAAGTTGCCATAAATACACCAGCAGCAAAGCAACTGAGTAAGCTTATTATTCGGCCATACCTTTGAACAGAATAAAATAATTATTTAACTTTCTTTGTCATGAAAATTGTAAGAACCTTGAAATATAATTAAGCTATAATAACAAACTCCTACAAGATGATGTTATTCCCACTGCACACTGAATTAACCAGTTTTCTGATTCATACGATCTTCCACACAAAACCTTCTCATTCTGATCATATATCTTGTAAATGCACAGGTGCACACTGGTAAATACATACTGATAATGCAAAACTTTTCTTAACCCCTCCCCCTTTTTGTAATGAATATTAATTTTGTTTCACTGTTTGAAGACTGATACTGTAATTTGTGAAGGAATCATCATCTTTCAATGTATTTTCTCTTAATGTTTTGTTTTTGAAAATCCCATTATAATTATATTTTTTTAAATTCTATTTAGATAGACTATTCAAGTTTTATATAGTTTGTTTTGGTATAGGACCAAACATTGACTGCTCCCAACCACCTGAAAGGAACAGCTAATAGGATCAATTAATTTCTTCTAAATATTCTGTATTTTTCTCTCATTGGACTTTTGCCGCATCCTTTTCCGATAAGGTACAACAATAAAAAATTGAAGACTCGCCAGGCTGGCGGTCTGGGCCAACCTGGGCTCCGCGCTAGACGTCCCCGTAGTCGGACTGTGTTTACAACCCCCTGACGGTCCCGAATGGATGGTAACAGAGGTTGGTTAAGGGTGAGGTCTGCGTCCGCGTTTATGTTTCGTGGCCGACTGTTTATTTCTAATGCCTCTTTTATACGTCTCGGCCAGTACCTGTTTTCCTTGTGCAGGAGTGGGGTCTTGTCAAAGTCAATGGCGTGTCCCGTAATCTCCGAGTAGTGCGCAATAGCCGAACGGTTGGTATTGTTCCTATTGTAATGTTCTTTGGGTCGCTCTGTCACAGTGCGCCCGGTCTCGCCAATGTACGTCCTGCCGCAGCTGCAGGGAACTTCATAAGCTCCTGCCGACTGGAGAGGGGGTAACGCATCTTTAATGCGAATCAAGGCGTTGTGCAGCTTGACGGGAGCTGTGAACACCGTACGGATGTTGTACTTCCGTAGTAGTTTTCCCACACGATCGGTGACACAGCGGACGTAGGGAATCACGGCTAATCAGGTGCGAGTACTCTCCTCCGTCTGCGAGGAAGCGTGGCGATCTTCGGCGTTGCCGCGGCCTTCAGAGCCATCGCGCCCTTCGGGACGGCTGCAACCTGCGGAGTGGCCCATGGCAGACATAAGCGCTAGTTTGATCGCTGTTCGGGAATAACAGTTGGCCCTGAACGTGTGTGTTCGAGCCTCTGGAGTTCTACGGGAAGAGAGCGCTCGTCGCACCCTTCACAGCTCTTGTGCCCAGTGTATTTAATACTCCTCGTTTTCGTGATGGATGATGATGTAAATCCGCGTGAAGGTATCTGTCCGTGTGAGTCTGTTTTCGGTAGACCGCGTGCCCCAAGGTGCCGTCTCCATCGTGAATTGGATGCTCTGGTGGTTACTGTTGAGGAAACGTAGAAACTCTTCTAATAATTTCGGTCCGTATGGCCAGATTACAAAAGTGTCGTCCACGTACCGCACCAAGAGACGGTTTGTGTAGGGCGTTCCATAAAGCCTCTGTTTCGAACGCTTGCATGAACAGATTGGCAGCGATGGGTGACAGCGGCGAGCCCATATCCGCTCCTTCCATTTGGGCGTAGAACTGGTCTCGATACTGGAAGAAGGTAGAATTTAGGCAGAATGCAGCCAGTTCAGCCCGGCTGGCTACTATCCTGCAATTTGTGACGCATTACTTCTATGGCTTCATGTACCGGAACTTTCGTAAACAGAGAAGTCACCTTCGTCGAGTCTTTGCCGCCGAATGATGTCTACGAAGTGAGAAGAGTTCCGCACGGCGTATTGCATTTCTTCGGCGAGCGGCGCGAGATGGTCAACGACAAGTCTCGCCAGGGCGTGAGTCGGCGAATTGATGGCGCTGAGGATGGGGCGTAGCGGCACGTCAGGCTTGTGTACTTTAGGTAGGCCGTAAAACCTGGGCGTCGACGAGTTGTTCCGACACAATGCCAACTTTGTTTTGGAGTTAACTTGCCTTAATTTGAGATAATGCCATTAGTGGTTTTGGCTAATATTTGCATAAACATTGAATCTTTTTGGTGGTCAGTCATAAAAGGACCTTTATTTTGTCGAAAGTCATTAGGCAGCACTCCTTACTGTGCATGCACGTTCAGGTAAGAAAAATTTCTTAAACTAGTTGACAATCGCAATTTTCAACAACTAAACATATTCAGCATTAAGTAATAAATATTATTTTCATTCTGTAATATTGACTATATTTACACACCTCAGGTCAGTTGTACAATTTCCTTTTATCTTATTATCGATAATGATCAAATGCCATCCGCGTGATCTCTGCACGCCTCTCTTCATTGACCTTGGAATCTTACCACTGCTTTGCCTATATATTTACGATTATAATATTTGTCAAAAGTGACTTACTTAACGGTGGGAACATATTTTCATGCAATACTGATATTTATAATTACAACACACGTAAAAATCACGTTCATCAAGCACACTATCAGAAATCCACATACATGTATGTTACTTTACGTTTTGTCAGATGACATTAAACAATTGACGTCAGTTCACAAATTTAAGTTAAAAGCAAAATATTTTCTGCTGCATAATTTTCTATGCAATTAGAGACTATACTGATTATCAACAAGAAAATAATGGTTATTTTAATAAAACTGATATAAATTGAATTAGTGTAAATTTTATTGTATACATTTTTTAAAAAGAAATGTTTGTAACAAATAATGTACTTCAGCTTCCAGGTCAATGACCCCCATCAAGTTTTTGTCCAGTTTCCCTGATCCGTTCAGTAAATGCTGATATGGCACAGTGTTTTGCTTCTTGACGGCACACGTTTTGTTGAACTCTCCTTTTTCTTGTAATGGTAGGAATAGAGGTAAGGGGGAGTTACTATTTTGTTAGCAATGCAGAAAAAGTATACTTGCAATTCATCTACCGATGCAAATAAGTTTTCTATAACTCAGGCACAAAAATAACTGTTTTTCTTCAAATATTGCTCATCTCTCACTTTTTTTAAATTTATTTTAAACGTTTCCTCATCTTTCAACTATTTATGGTTAAAACGGCAGGAAGGGATTTTGGAACTGTAGGAAACATACGCAAATCATCTTCCCCATACGTCACAGAGTTTTTACTGTTTTTTTGAGTAAATAAATCTTATAACATATTACTTTAAAGAAAGAAAATGTGCACCTGTGAACCAAAACATATGTTTATTTCTTTTGATATTTTCTAACATTCAATTTTATGCTTCTTATGAAATTTTATTTATCACTGATCTTGTAAATGAAGATAATTAGATACACAATTGTAAGACAATATATTGTAAAAATTACAAAAACTCCGTTGGAAGTATGGAGACCTTGTATTAGATCATTTTACTCCTATGATAAAGTTATGCATTTTGTTGTTATGCCTTCACTAAAAAATGATATTGTAATTTTTAACAAATGTATTCTGACTCATTTCAAATTCTAGATAAAATACTCCCAAATAAGTTATCATATTTTTCAAATTATTTCAAATCTTTTGAAACTTTTGATAAATATATTTCAAAGATGCAGCACTTGAGAGGTGTGAGAGTTACACAAGTTATTAGGTACCTAATTATTCATGAATGTATGTAAATATGCTTTGATATTACATTTTAAATTGCAGTTATAGTTAAATATTAATTTTGATTACATTTAAATGTCCATTTTTCAATATTGTTAGGAGTCTCCTTAAACTGGTGTACGATCCTCTTGCAGGGCCATCTAATTAATGTGACTCAACAAAGTCAAGTTCTACAAGTATGTGCAGGAGTTTTTAATTGGTTTTATGTTATAAATAAAGTATGGGGTCAGTCATTCAAAGGTTATGTACAAAAAGAGTTTAAAATCACAAATACATTTGATTTTGGAACAAAAGATAAAGATAGAGGGGAAAGGGAAGCAGGAGAGTTGAAAAGCAGTCAATATTTATTTGTTACGTGCACTGGTATACATATTGTAAATTCTTTGTAAAAATGCAATGGAGAAGAAAGGTATCTGTGAAAACAACTTGGTTCACACAAAATATGAAATTTTAGAAAGAAGTAAGATGATAAACAAGTTTCTTTTGTCTATCTACTATTTTCTCATTAAACAGTGCTCATTTGTGTAGAGAACCTTTAATCAGGAGAATATATTTGTTAATATCTTTAATAAAGAAGAATTCAAGTATATAGGTCTTATTAATGAACATCAGTAAACCAGTTTTACAAGATAAACCACATAAGATACAAACATAAGTAGTACATCACAAAAATATGTATTCTTTCATAAAGATAGCATAAAAAGCAGGAATACTTGATATTTCTAGGCATTATTATTTTGGATTGCACATGCTGTGGAATTACTAACCTGTAACGTTTCACAGGATCTGCAGTCTCATGAAAAGCTTTCAACAATTTCAGAGGTAACATACTAAATATGAAAGTTAAAAGAAAAAGTGTGACTAGAACTATCCATTTCGCTCCAATAATATCCATTTTTATCTGAAAAAAAAAAAAAAAAAAAAAAGAACCACCAACATTTTAATTTAATGTGCATTACACTCTCCTTGTTAAATTAATATAAAACGAGAATACAAACCTTGATAAAATGAAAAATTATAAAAGTTGAATAAATGCGTTAACCTACGTTTCGAACTCTTTACTATTACTTATACTATGGCATTTCTCGGCCCACAAATTCAACGAGTAAGAAAACCAAGGCAATGATCGTCGTCGGCACACGATGACTAACGCACACGAGTAGATTCCATCGGTCACATCAGATACGGAAGTGCATAACCTAAGCAAAACAGCAAACAAACAAACAGCTGATACTGACAGTAACGAGGTCAACTGCGATGAAATCGCGAGAGTATCGATGTTTTGAAAATCGACTTACGTGATTTTAAGCAATGGGAGTATTACATTCATAATTTTCTCAGGTGGCTGTAAAATTCAACGTTTGTGATAATATAAAAAACTTAAAATTCAAAATTATAAAATGAAATATATAAATACAAATTTCGTCGTAAATTATAGAGTTAATGCTCGTAGGAGGTACTACTTTGACTCTCTCAGTCTGCAGCGAAATGATTCCTCAAGCACGAGACAGTAGCCGGAGTCTCGCGTGGTAGTTTTCATATACACCAACAGGTAGCTCCAGTGGAAGTGAGTGGCTGTCAGTATCTCGAGCATGATGGAGAGGATGTTCAAGCGAGTGGGATTGCATAGCGGCAAAAAAGTGGTTGACACGGAAAACGAAGGTAACGTTGAGTGCGAATCAGTAGAATGCAGTAATGTGATGAGTTCTGCGCCCGGTGACAGGAGCCCGGGAAGCGGTGATCTGCAGTGGTGCGATTTATTGAGCTTCAAGAACGTGTGTGCCGAAGCAGCTGACCGGGAGAGTGCCGGGGGTAGTGAGAATCAGCTGGGGGGCAGCGATGAAGCCTCGCGGAGGCCTCGGCGTTTGCGTGTGTTTAATTTCCCTCACTTAGACACTCATATTATGGAATTTAAACCACGAGCTATTACTAGGCGTTTGTGTGGTGGCAGAAAACACGACAATGAATTATACAGGAGCAATAGCTTTAAGTTCGAGAGATTCGAGCGCGTCGATGAAGGAGCATCTCTTCAGAAACAGGTAGGAAAACATCCACCAGCTTATTCAGATAATCATCATTTTTTACGAAGGCGTCGAAATGCAGCAGCATTTCGTTGACCTGTCATTTGCCGGTTTGTTTTGTGGTGTTGTATATCTCGGTAGATTTTCTTTTTGTAATGACATTACGATTACAATCACGAAGGGATTCAATGACAGGGTCGTTTATTGTTCGAATTTTGTTTTAAATGTTGACAAATTATCATACTAATGTTATTTTAATCAATTGTGTGTTAGAAACGAACAGTTAGGAGTCCATACTTTGGAAAAACATATTCTTGAATGAATAGCAGGTTACATAGGTTTGATCTCCACAAAAGCCTCCTTTCGAAAAGCAGTACTCAAATGCTGTCTGCAGTCGGCGCTTCGCCGAGCAAGAAGTGGCCACACGGTGTGTACTGTTTTTCCAAAGAAAATAGACATTTGATGATGCTCCGTTTGCAACTGCAATGCATAAATCGAACTTTATATATATATATATATATATATATATATATATATATATATTTAATTTAGTTTACATGTAATTAACATTCGAATGTGTGAATTTCGTTCTGTTCAGCAGTCTTGCCTATGTGTCTTTGAATGCTTCGGAATATTTATCTTTTATATGGAATTTAATGAAGGAAAAAACATTTTTCTGGAGTTGATTATTTGTCAGACTATATCCATTAAGTGAACCATGTTATTAATGTCTCTTGGATTTTCTCTACGCATTAGACTCCTTTCTGATTTTCGTACATTGACATTAATTTAACGAGTAAGCGACAATTTCAGTGACGGACGTATTTGCAAGATGATAATGAAATACGCACGGAAATAGGTTTCATTAACAGCATTGATGAAATTTCCTTATTTTTCGAACTATTTTCGAAAGAAAATTAACGTTCCGTAAAGATTTATTTATGTAGTGCATTTAAGCGACGTGTAAAATTATCTTCCTTTGAAGGAAAGCATTATATTTAGTGGATGCTGGGCAGTGACGGATCCAGGGGGGAGGGGATTTAACCCACCAAATGGTATTTATATTCTAAAGAGGAAAAAAGTTTGTAGCCTTTTTTGTTTGCCATAATTTTTTTAAATTAAATATTTATTTATGTCACAATTTTGTAATTATTAAAAATTATTGTATAGGATCATAAATACACTACAAAAATATACAACATAATTACAAATATGTTTATTATTTAAAAAAAATCTTTGCCCCCCCCCCCCCAATGATCGGCTGGATCCGCCCTTGATGCTGGAGCAGGATTTGAGTTTATAGCGATGACTTCAGTGCCTATTTGTTTGCAAAAATTAATATTTTATGAAGAGAGTGTTGTGAAGATTTGGAACTTCTTGCCCTAAAAAGCTTCTAGGGATACTTGCTATTCATATTCTAATCCTTGTATAAGACTTATAGCGCAACGTCCTTTCGAATTTCGCCTAATATTTTAATTTTTTCATTGAGTGCGTAAACACATTCCATCGGAAAGCAAATAAAAGGGAACATGTTATTTTCGTAAATTACAATTAATAATCTGTTTGATTTACAATCTAATAAACACGGTTTCTCAGTGTCTTAGAGTATCGTAAAACAATTGAACACTCGCAGATCGCTATGGAGGCACGTCAAGGCGTGCACTTGATTTGGGAGACTCAGCTGTGAGGCCAGACCGATGTTTTACGCAGGAATTTTTAACCGGGTATGGTCAGATATGGATGTGGTAAATTTTGAGTCTTAATGAACTTTAACAATAATACATACAATAAGTTACGCCATGTTTTATAAATGTATGTTATCTGTCCACAATCCAAGGTACGTAGTTAACCTCACTTTGAAGGGTGTGGTATTCTAAACTTTCCAAGGAGTGTAGTAGTATAAAATTGCGGCGAGGTACTACCCTCCTCTGAGGCAGCTAAGAAAAGCATCGAGGCAGACCCGCATCGTTCGAACTGGAGGGCTAGAGGCAGCGAATGGATTTGCGCTCGTACGCTTGCCTTCGTGCGCCACCACGCAAGAATTGTGAATGGCCACGGCTCTTTTTCGTAACGTTCTCGCAGACTGCAGAAGAAAGCATGGGAACTGGCTTGTGGACTTCGTGTACGTAATGGACAATTAAGCTAATGGGTTGCAAAAGTTTCTTGGATCAAGCGAGACGATTCGACAAGTTGTATTTGCTTCCTTATTCAGAAGCGAACTGTACGAGAGAGTACCTCTAACGAAAACGGCATTAAAACATGAAATTATAAAGTTGAACGAGGGAATGAGCTTCTCCTGCGCAAGTAACGTCATTGAAAATTAAAAATGCTGGGGTGGGAATTTCAAACAAAAGATATTTCTGGGCTCATGGGGTAAAAGTTATTAAGTAAATGTTTGGCGAAATCGAGTTAAGTACATATTTCACAAGCAGTGCGACAATATTATTTTTACACGGCTGTCGACTAATCACATTCGTCTTAGTTTATTACACACGGCAGATGGTTCTCGCAGTCGCATACAGAGGGCAATAGCTCAGCGCTGTCTGCCGGGGCAAACGACAGGTGCACCACGAAACTGCGAGGGTCAGAGATTGCTGTTTGCGATGGTCGCAATATTGTTGGGGTCAGAGAACATTGAGTGTTATGTGGCCATTTTGTGAGGTTAAGGCTCTCATTTAGTATTTTTAAAACAGCAATTTGAATGTCATAGCGAAAGTAGTCTTATACTCGCGTAAAATAGCTATTATTCACCCGTAAACATAAACTCGTGAATATTAACTATCATTCTACGCTCGTTGAAGAATATTCTATTCATTAACAACTTTCTCTCTTAATATGGAAATGGAAGAATAGAGAAAAGGGTGGAGTTAAACATGCGAAAGCTCTCACCCGGGTACGTTACTTTATTATTATTATTATTATTATTATTATTATTATTATTATTATTATTATTATTATTATTCCGCTAATTTACGAATAAAGATGGTATGAGTCAGTTGTTTATAAAATCTACTCCGGATTGCAACCAGCCTTCCTAAGGAGCAGATCTATGGACTGCTCTACAAAACTTTCTGCAAAATGTGTCTCTATAAAACTTTCTGCAAAATGTGGGCTGTTCTAAATAAAACTTTATCTTGTACTTCCCAGTCTTTTAAATGACACAGGAGTTGAGTCAAGTTCTTACACAAATTTTGCGAAACAGATCCCAGGGCTCCGATCGGGACAAATCCCAGCGACTGTCGGGACAACATGTGCTTTTACGCCCTATTTCGACTGATCTCGATTTCCGAACTCGTGTATTTAAGTTTCTTTATCTCCTTGGTTACGAAGTTTTAATCACACGACTCAGAAACATCTGCACACGTGATTTTGTTTCAAAATCCCGGATAACAATACTAGATTTGTTTGCCACTATCGTGCGACCAATTTGAATTTATAGGTAGAGTACCCTTGGAACATGTGTTTGGAAGTTCTGAGGCGTAGTGATTTATCCGTGGAGATAACTACACACCCTATCGCGTCTTTTCAAGTTTTCGGATTTTGTTAGAATTGAACAAGATGAGATGATAAGATCAGAGGTTTATACTGGTTTTTGGCAAATGCGGCATTTATCATTTTGGGAAATTTTCAGAACCGCCTTATCATAATGACGTGTCTCAACGCTTGACATTGGTCAGCTTTTACAACTGCTTCCGATTCTGGTTTCAATCTACCCCTTTTAAGCCAGATAAATGATTGATCTACATTTTGTCCACTCTTTTTAAATATTAACTATGGAGTGGTTTGTCTTTCCACGATTTCTTTACCATTTTTCGTGTCTCGCATTTCATATTAAGTAGCATCAGAAGTTCAGAGCCTGTGTTATTCTGCGTTTCTTGCTTTACTTACAATGCCTGTGTTTCCAATTCATATTTAATGAATTTATTTCCCGGTCGTATTTAATGACCAGTCTAAGTCATTTTGATGGTTGACTACATACTTTCCTATCCCCACTATTGCATTGTGCCAGGAGACTTCAATTTGCCTGAGGCCTCGTCATTTCTTACGTGACACAGTCTATGTACATCAGCTCGAGGGTGGGCGACACGATGCATTGTAAGCAGTTTTCTTGTTTTGCGAACCATGCTTCGAATTTCTTGGTCAGACCATTCCGCTAGTCCGAAACTACAGTCTCCGCCAAAGTACCTATTGCAGATATTTTATTCCTGGAGTTCAGAGCGGGCTGCACCACAAGTCTCGCTCTTCAGTAATACTCACTGCGAATTCTCTCTTTCATTGTGTCGTTCGAGCCAAGATATTCAAAGCCCAGATATTTGTAAGTTTTACTTGTCTCTATATCTTGAATTACAGTGTGCAAATCAACTTCAGTGCCCTCTGACGTTGTCAACTTGCTTGTCTTTAAATTGACTTTTGCACATTCGTCAAGGCCAAATTTCACGCATATGTCATTGGTAAAATCATTGAGGACAGACAGCAGACTTTGGGAGAGAATCGCTTCATTCTTAGCGAACACTTGAAAATAATCAGTGTAAAACAAATATGATACTCGTCTTCCATCATCTTGGAGCTTGTAACCAAAGTCAGTGTGCGACAACTGTCTAGAAAGTGGGATCAAACTAATGCAAGACTGTAGAGGGGAGAGCGAATCTCCTTGAAAAATCCCCTTGTTAATCTAAACACTTGTTGCTTCTACTACTTTGTGAGCGCGGTGTGTTAGTAAGGTGGTACTGCACGACTTCATGCTAGGCTCGCGGCGACGGCGCATGGCGTCTTGGCACGCGGGCGCCACACGGGGCGAAACGGGCGGGCGACGGGCGACGCGCGCGCGCTCTTCCGCCGAGTGGCGGATGCTTAATGAACGCGCGGGCCGGAAAACTCTGTCATCGCTTTTGATCGGATTCGCGTATGAAATGGATTATGCGCGGAGCAGCGTCGGTGGCGATGGTTCAGTGCATCAACTGATGTCACTGCAGTGTCTCTGACCGGGAGGTTGCAAGGTTCTAGTCCTGACGGTGGCA